TAACTTTACAACCGCATTCATTGGCAATTCTCCGGACGCAAGTAGACTTCCCTCCCAGGCGAAACGTGACCAAGAGATCTCCAAGGAATATAGGGCAGCGTGAGTAGCGCATTTGGAAAGATTTTTATCTGCGTTTACGATTAAAACGGCGAGACACGGCAGCGGCGCTCGAGGGCTGCTTCAACTCTGCGAGGGCTCTCGTGCGTCTCCTGGGAACACGCGCCGCCCCCCACCCCGCCCGCGCGACGGACGCACAGCGGCTGCGGGCGCTGCGCTAATTAGTCAATGCGAACCGCTCCGCCTCCCAAGACTTTTCTTCAAAGTCAGAAATTGTCACAAAACAAGTGAAACGTTTACAGGGCGTAAGTTTCACATATCAAATTTGGAATAGAGATAATAAGACCATTTTTCACATTTTTTTTCATTTTTACTTTACATATAATAACTATCAATCGCACACAACCGCAATGTTTGCAAACTTGTTCATGTTCAAGGGAACACTGGAGAACGGACATTTAAGACTTCTGTGGGAAACCTACTTAAGAGTTAATTGCAGCCATCTTTCGCCCCTCATTACCAGTCTTATCGTGCGTTTTATTGGATATTCGAGGTGTCAAATTACTATTTTCCATGCACTACGATGCAAATAAACGGACGTGGTGCGTCCTGGGAGACGCAACACACCCCATTCTCACAGAGACCTCCTCGCGGGATTTGTGACGGAGGGGTTTCCAGAGTTTGCGTACCCGCCGTTCCCAGCCCAGCGGGCAGGCGGCTTTTTGATGCAGCCGCATTGTTTGCTCTCCGACCGTTAAGCCCACGGACCACGCACGCCACGTGACTGGCCGAAAGCGTCCCTCACGGCGGGGCGGGCCACGCCCCCTCGCCCAACCTCCCAACACGCGCCCAGGCCACACAAAGAGGCAAAGGTCTAACGAGGGTCGCGAGCGGTTAATTCACCCACACGCAACCGTCTCTCCGGAAATCTGACTTTACGAATTACAGATGAACTTCTACAATTCGACAATTTCGACAATGTGTTAACGAGGAAATTAACACGTTTCATTATTCCATCAAATAAAATGGGAATTGAGATTTATTCTTTTGCACAGTTTTCAACAGAAGACACGCATTGGTGGAGACAAACATTATATTTCTTTAACCGAGAAACTAACTAAAGAGACAGGAAAAAACTCCGAAAGACAAACATCGTTTCTATATCTTAATGGTTTTAAAGACGTAATTGATCATACATATTGTTTAAAGGTGTTTGTATGAAAAAGTTGGCAAAAAGCGCTGAGTGACAATTGTTTTTTTTCAAAACATATAAACACGCCTCACTTATGAACAGCAATTACATTACTGCAAATTATCCACTCGACTTAAGTTGTGGGAAGTTTAAGAATAATGGGAATGAATGTCCGATCTTTAACACCACTCTCCAGGCACACAAGCTTACAACATGATGAATGAAAGATGGTCATCGCAGGACTATTCATGCAGAAGGACTATTCATGCACGAGTGTAGTGCACAAAATCCAGTATGTCTGTATTTTCATTTCAACTCCTTAACACCCTCGTGAGTGATCTACAGTTGGGGAGCTCGAAAGAGAATTCAAACAGGATATTACGTTATTTTCTTGCAAACGTGAAACGTGATTTCTCGCAGAAGATTCCAACAAATTCAAATGATCATTGAACATCTACTGACACACTAATCGAAGTACAAACAAGGAATAAGAAAGACAACTGTATAATTCCTAGGTTATCTACAATAAAATGAATTAATGCTGAATGCAGACAAATAATTAAACATGAAGAAATTACCAGAATGCTAAAATTAATTATTACCTTCATAAAATAAATTACCCTTAAAAGGATATCCACTTTTAATACAGAAGCAGTGCAGAACAAATTTCCTTGAAAATACGGCAAGTGCAAAACGTACATTGTGAAATTGTGTTGCCAAACAAACCATTCATAGGTGTAGCAGCAGAGGTATCATTCTTTCATATCAGAGCGGAGCAGTTCCGTATATTTCAGGCTCGGGTGTTTCGTCAAAGGACATAGGCGAGAATGGGCAAACCATTGAATTGCGTTCGTCCGCAACTGAGCACAACGCCACTTTCCCTTCCGGGGAACACAAGAGGACATCGGCTCATCGGAGGGCGTGGGCGCCGCGTGAGGCAACAGCGCGAACAGTTCCAGGCGCCGCAGGAAGTCCTGCCACTGCGAAAGCGGCGGCTATTCGCATTCAAATCGCGGTGGCCTCACCATCCGATGAGCCGATGTTCTCTTGTGCAGGAATACGGAACTGCACTCAATGAAATCAATCGACATCAGCGCTCGCAGTGCGAACAAAAATACCCTCAATGTTCATTGTGGTAGACAAACATCATTGTTCCCAAGAAACAAAGTGGACAAAGCGGGGATTCCATATGAAGTTATTCAGATATATGAAATAAAAAAAAACTAGTCATTGATATATGACTTGTTTGAAGTCTCATACTATACGGGATTTTAAATCAAAGCCGTTTTTTTTTGGAATGGATTTTAAATCCATACTTTACAGTAACATCCTTCGAATGGTTCCGCTAATTTATGCGTCCATTTATGTAGCATAAGTTCCTTAATGTGCTAAAGAGCAATAAAATAATAGGGGCACCCAAAACTTTTGGAAGAAAAATCACCAACGCTTCCTGAAGGTAATTTATTACTATTTTAGTAGGATTCAGAGAACGAAGCCCCTTGCGAGTATCCTTCAAAAACCCGTGGAAACTAGTTTTCCTTTTTTATTGATTTCGTTAGTGTGACAGAAATATGAATGGCGATACAACTTTTAGGGTGTTAAACGTCACGTTGGAGTCGATAATCGTTTGAATTTGTCATAACAGCAGAAGTTGTTGCCCTCATAAAACAGTCTTTCATAAAACAGTTCTTCCGCTCGCCCTGCCCAGTGCCTCCGCCTAGATCTGAGACGCCCCTGATTTTTCAAAAGAATTAAATATCAATTTCGCAAATTAATACTTAACGATTATAAAATAATTAACAGGAAGCACAGATACGTCATACTTATAAAAAAACAATATTATTGTTTTATAATATCAAAAATGATTTGATAGTTTCAGTAGAAAATAACACGTCTTAACGCAGATACCTCGCATGGTTTGAAAACCTCTGTAGATGCTTATAATGCATCTTTACAATAAATATTAAACCCTATGGATCAAAAGGAATGTACCAATGTTAAAAGAAATAACCCAATCAGTAAATTATAATTGAATATACCGATATGTACAGGTCTTTTGACGGTGGCGAACCGGGGTTGCAAACGCGACAGGCAACGTGCGACGAACGCCGGAAACGAGACGGTTGCATTTTGCCCCTTCGAGAAGTCGCAAGCCAAAGGCTGCGACACCGACAGTCCACCAGGCCCCGTGGCGCACCTCTCTTCAAACAAACACTTCTTAGATTGCAAAAATAGACAAACACGTCACACTCGCATGGAATCCATCAATCGGCAGAGGATTTCGCTAATTTAACAAATACTCAGGATCTTTATACCAAACCACATTATACAACCAATTCATTAAAGATATTTATTCTGAATACATTCAATTCACAAAACTGAACTTCCATTGGGTCATATCACCAAGTGAGAAGATGTCAGAATGTAGAATGCAACATGACGGTGTGTGGACGGATGTGTCTAGACAAAAGAGGCGATGTAACAATTACCCAAAGCGAGGACGCAATGAATGATTCAAAAAGTGCTGCTTCTGAATATCACGATCATCTCCTAATCGTCGTGCCAGGCGAGTTCCCTTGAGTGGCGGGAAGGCGTGAGAACGCTTGCTTCCGTTGCGATTGGGAGGGCCGCGGCGGGGGCGGCCGCTCCTTGACCTTGAGGGTCAGCGGCTGGGGGGGGAGGGGGCGGGGCGGCTAATTGGAGCACGTCGGCCAAGAATGCGGCCTGCGCTGGGCGCGCGGCCGCGAGGGCGCGCTGGCCCCCCTCCGCCTTCCGCCGCGGGGTGCGTATGAATGGTGGGTGCGCGCGCGCACTCGCCCGTCACGAGACACATCCAGCATTTCCAGCCTCCATTCAACCTGGGTGCTCTCCTTTCCGTGTCTCCAAACTCGACTTTTTCTTTGCGTGCAAGTACACATTCATTACTTCATTTGATTTGATAGGGAGAGATATGACAATTGAAACACACCTATGCTCCCGAGAGATATCATTTGCTATTAAACACGTCTTAGCAATACGGAAGTTTTCATAACTTAATATTCATAACTCATTGTTTTCTATATCTTAAAGTCATTGTCAAAATACGTTTGCATTACTGTTTTGCCAGACATTCAGAGTTTATTTTACTTTAAACAATATTTTCACAAGATCAAGTCACTTAACATTCACACTATCCTTAGCATTACCATTTTCACTAACATTCATATTATATGGATGAATTAATAATACTCAGCATATATTTGCCCACTTAGTTCCTCAAGGAACTCCCCCTATTTTAATTTTCTTTATAGTATGTATTGAAACAATCAGAAATGTAATTCGTCCATTAACTCTAGCTGTTCGATTAGCCGCAAATATTATACACACCGAGCTCATGGTAATCAAAGTAATTTTGATAATTTAACATGAAGTAGTCTCGCCTGGAGCACATAGAAAATCGACAGATTTTAACATTAACACTCGCCCCAAAGCTAAAATGGGTAGTTGATGCATTCGTAGCGTCTGCACGAGCACGTCAGCACTATTGAAAATCCATGCTCTCTTAATATCTCCCATCGTATACATTCCACCACTTTGCGATTTTATCTTTCACACTACACATGGTTTAGAATAGCTTGTCACAAGGCTCTTTTGCAATTCACACAATCCACCCAACAGTCGTCTCCGAGCACCATCTCCTAGATTCGCTCGGAGCGTCCGAAGCAAGAGCGAAGCAACACCTGCTCTGCGCGAGCTGCACGAGGGCACCTACCTGAGCAACTACAGCTATCACAGTCCTGGGCGCAGGCGAGTCGAGCCGAATTTCGCGTTCGCACTGGCACACTCGCGGCGGGCGGGAAGCACCTGCTGCTGCTGCTGCGGAGCGGAGCGGAGCGGAGAGACGCGTCCGGTATCGAGCGCACGCGGACACGACTGACGCGCGGCGCGGCGACGGCGGTGGCGGCGGCGGCGGCGGACGCGCTGAGAGGTCCCGCTGTTCGCAGGCGGCTGGCGCGGTGGCGGCTGGTGCGTCGGTGCAGCTGCCGCGTGCGGCGCTGGTCAGCGGCGGCGGGGCGCGGGGGAGCGGGGCGGGCGCGGGGAGCGGGGCGGGGCGGGGCGGTGCGTCGCTGCTGCTGCTCGGGCTGTTCGTGCTGCGGCGTGCCTCGTGTTCGCCTCGCCGGCCGGCCGACTTGTGACGGAGTGGATTGCACCTGTCTCGTCGGCGGTAGCGTCGTGGGGATGGGCGTCCCCGTTCCGCCCCTCCCCGCCTCGCGGCGCCGCCTGAGCCCGCCCCTTGACCCACACACCGCGCCGTCCCGCGCCGCGCTCCGGGTACAGTTATTCTTCCTAGCAGCCCCTCCTCGCCGCCGCCAGCGCCGTGTACCACTACCCAACATTCGCGCGCCTTCCGCGCCGCCGCCGCCGCCGCCGCCGCCGCCGCCGCGCCGCCGCCGCCGCCGCCGCCGCGCGCCGCCGCCCGGCGCCCAGCGACACGCCGCGCGGCGAGGAGAGCGCCGCCCCTCGCCTGCCTCCACCCCTCCCACGCTGCCGTGCAGCTCCCTCGCTGCACAAAAACTACCACCCCGCGATAGCCGGTGGGGCTTCGCAGAGAAATCGCTTCCAGTAAAGCACCTTTCAGGGAGATTGTTAAAGCCATGATGGAAGAATTCAACGCGCTCTCTGGCAACAGGAACTAGCTCCAAGCTCTTCACAATGTCTGTTGGTTCAATAGTTGGCCAACAGGATTAAAGAGGCCTCTTCTAGGTCTCGCATACTGTTGTTGAGTGCAACAAAATGTAACAGTTAATCTATCCTTCGTCAGAAAATTCACTCTCTCTAAAGTAGTTATACTCTTCCATTTATTCCATTTCCCTCGCTAATACTAGTCGAAACACTGTGATACGATTCGAATTCTGTCGATATAAATTAATTAAAACGTCTTTCCACTAAATAAGTAACTAAATTAAATGTATCAACTAGAAACTTTATCTGAAACCAATAATGTTCGATATTCTTGCAAAGCAAATTGTTCTGTTGAGAATATTAGCGTAAAGTCAGAAAATAGTTAAATTTGAGATTTTAAATGCCATTCTTAATACAATTTATTTTAGCTTAGACACAGAGTTAACGATCTTGGACAGTGTAAATGATGCCAAAACAAATTCAGTACAACGTGATGTCAAGAAGTTTGCTTCGAGCAATACTTAGCTTTGAACTTGAACGAAACGACAAATATAAGAAAGTTTTTGGAAATAACTGATTTCATTGAGGCAGGTGCTCTGAGAGTCCTTCCAGAGAGTTCGTTCCAGTGAAGTTGATCTCTTGAAGGAAGAAAGAGGGAATGTGAATTGCTCTCCATATTTGGGAAGAAAATTAGTATTAGTTCCTCACTAATCGCGTTAGAAAAATTCGGACGTAGGTGGGTTTTAAGCAACCTCGCGAGAGCAGTTTCACGCTAGAGAGCTCAAGAACCCCTGCGCTAAAGGCAACGACACTGAGTCGGCGCTCGGCTCGGAAGTCAGTAGCGCTGCAAGGACGTGGGGCGCGGCTGTGCCCTTCCTCCCCACGCGAGCGTTTCCCTGGGAACGCGCGCCGCGGCGCCGGCGGCTCTGAGCCCGCATTGTGCCGCCCTCTACAGCTCCGTTTGTTGGGGAGCCGCGTTTACACGCACAACAACGCCTCGCTGCGGCGTCTACACGGCGCCGCGAGAATTACTACTAAGTGGGATGAATGCTCGAAGCAAGTTGACGACCTCGTGCAGTTAACGATGTACGGAATCCCAGAGATTACGAAGAACATCCAACATGGGCACAATTAATTACATACGAGCGAATACTCGATAGACGCAAAGTGTGTTTAAAAAGACGGCACGCTTTAAGTGCAAATGGGCACATTCCTACCTCGCAGTTAATGTGGACAAAATTAAGATTATTTGTGCTTTAAAAAAAGTTTTGCATTTTTAAACAACTAAATATGATTTATACCTATCAACTAAGATGAATATTACAGAAGAATAATATTCACAGTGTTTCTTTAATATATACAGCAAAAAGTTTAAAGAAAAAATGAAAAATATCAGAGGTGTTTGATTATTTCATGTTGTGTGTCAACTAGTAAGGTCATTGGTCCCTTAAGAGTAGTCCATGTGTTTCTTCGGAAGGGGGGTAGTGATCATCTTCCCCTGCTGGATGGCGAAAGCGGACACTGTTCTACGCGTCGACTAACGAATATTTTCCCCCAACCACCTCTCCGAACGCAGCACCGCTCAAACCGAGACAAGTTCTAAGCTCCCGAATGGCCTTCCGTGATGTGTGGTAGTGTAAAGCATGAACGTGTGTGTAAGAAGGGGGATGCGAATAGGACAAGGAAGAGGAAGTAAAGATCGCGTGCGGTCCGTGGCCCGTTTGTCAAGGTACTGCACAGATATATAGTTCATAGATTGGGAATGGCTGTGATGGACGCTTAGGTAGCTGTTAGGCAAAGAAATTGCGCATGACGCCATCTTACTATCATCCTGTTCTGAGGCGTTGTACTTAACTGCAAGGCAATTGAGTTGTATCCTCATTCTTCTTTTAGAGCTACGAGTAATAATAGGAACAAAGTGATCCTCTATATGATATGTGGGTTTAATTTTTTACACTTCAAGTGTCGTATATAGTATGATACTCGACCTTTTTCTGTGTGATCGTTAGCGTTTCACCTCTATAAACTAAATTGCGTTCTACGTAGAATAGAGAACCTAACATATAATACCTGACATATTACACACATCTGAGAGGTGCAGAAAACATCGTAGACTTCATCGGAGACAACTTAATGAGGTTTCTGATTATATTACAGCTCACCATAAGTCCTTCATATTATAGACATTGAAATAAGTGACGGACCCTCACTTAAACACATTAGTTATAATATGCAATGTTTGCTCTTTTATCCCACATTAAAAGCTCTTAATCCACTTAATGTTCTAATATAACTTTTGTAAGAGCTGGTACGTTTGATTCTAGTCTAATATTTTGAGTTTTAGAAGTCAGACTTTCATTCACCCTAAAGGAAGTTCATAAGTTACCTCCACCTATGTTAATTGAATATCAAAGCACATTATACAGATAATATTTTCAACTGAAAGCATCACCTGTTTCAAATGTAATTCTGAAGACCATATTGCTAGTCAATGTCCAAACAAAGAAGACAATTTTACCCAAATTATATATAATGAATCAGAAAGTAATAATGATAGTACCTCAACAGGAAATTGCTCCTTGAATCATTCAATATTGCAAACATCTAATTCACCTATTTGGGATTGTGATAGGTTCTCTCCTTTGAGCAAGAGAAGCAGCTCATCAGATTCATCACCTAGTTTCTCCCTTGAATAAAGATACAAACTGTATGGATCAAGCTCAAAAATCGCCCATGGTCCCCCTTCAAACGACTCCATGAGTATCCCTCCTCCTCATAAAAAAAGCTTACCCACTGAAACACTTCCTTCTCTTAAACAACTTACTCTGAGGTTAATAATAACAATGAAGAAAATAATTTGAAACGACAAAAAGAGGGGGGAAATAAATACAGTTGAATCAGACCAAGAGATAATAATCCTGAAAACAATTCTTGCTGGAAAATGCCTAGGGCTTAGCTAGATATATCTACTGCACTTATAGGCATTGACATAAAATAGTATAGCGAAATAGTATTTCTGCTCCTTCAATACAATCTTTTCTTTGATAATTATAGCTTGTTTAGACATAAAGCTCTCTTTTCTTTTCTTAAAGCACAAAAATGGTGTATTAATCATTAAGGCATCAATAAAGACATTTTTCTATCTCAAAAATTTTTGGACTACAGCGTTAAATTTGTTATGTGAGAAATTCAATAAGATACCTTTTACTTAGCAGATCTATTTCCTTCAAATGTCCATTATGTTTTCCTATTTTAATTACTTATTTGTGAACCCCAAATTTGATCACATTGTTTAATAGCCATTTGAAAATTCTACCCCCAGAACATATTTGAAAGACTTAATACACATGACGTCAGAAAAGAAAAAGGAACAAAAATATACATCCCACGATGTCTTTTAACAGATATAATTAAGAAAAAATCTCTAGTTTCAATATTGTACTTGTAAGAATATGAAGATCTTTTGTAATATTCGAAAATGATGTGATTTAAACAACAATGAGACCTGCACCAGAGATTTTAAGCGTTTTTTATGCTATAAGCGGAGAAACTTTAAATAAAAAACTTGTAGCCAATTTTAGGATATGTTGAAAATGTTATTGAAGTTTCATGTAAAATACACGATCTGAAAAATACCCGTTTCAAAATCGCAGGACCACGAGTTCATTCATGTCGATCGGAAAATATTAATTTTGGAGAAAATCGTCCAAACGGTTTAGGCACTAGAAGTGGTCACAGAGGGACGGAAGGATGTAGGGACGAACGCGAGAGAGAGAGAGAGAGAGAGCGAAGAGAGGAGAGAAAGAGAGGAGGACAGAGTCAGAAGAAGACCTATGAGAGAAGAGAGAGACGACAGGAGTGAGAAAAGAGAGCAAGAGAAGGAAGAGACATTAGAAAAAGAAGAAGAAAAGGAGGAGAGAGTCAGAGAACATAGAAGAGAGACAAGAGAGAGAGAGAAAGGAGAAAGAGAGAGGAGAAAGAGAGAAAGAGAGAAGAGAGAAAGAGAGGAGAGAGCGAGAGAGAGAAAGAGAGGGAGACAGAGTCGAGAGTCAGAGAGACAGAGAGACAGAGAAAGAGAGAAAGAGAGAGAGACAGAGAAAGAGAGAAAGAGAGAAAGAGAGAGAGTCAGAGAGCAGAGAGAGCAGAGAGACAGAGAGAGAGAGAGAGAAGAGAGAAGGAAAGAAAGAGAGAGA